GTTATAAATATAATGCCAAATTTTTCCTTTGGAAATTCGTTAATTTATCTTGTGGGGGCAATTTCTTAACAAATAAATACATTTTAATTTGGATTCGCCTTCAATTTAAGCCCTCAATGAAATCAAATGCCCCACCATCAGATTAAACTGAATTTTAATGAAAACATGAGTTTTTAAAAATTTTTATCTTAATAGATATATTATTAAAATAAAACTTCTATGGGCGCATTCAATCATTAAAATATTTATTAAACTGAAGCATAAAGACAAATATTTTAAAAAAATTTTCGGACACGCCTGTAAAATTTTTAATAGACGACAAGAAAATTCAATGAATGAAAAGAAAAAACTTAAATATTTCGAAGAATGTTATTATTAGTAATAAATTTCCTGTGGAAATTATTCTTTTAATAAACTCAAATCTCTATTTTAATATATTTAAATATATATATATATATATATATATATATATATATATATATATAAATATAAATATTTTTTATTTTTATAGGTTTTTTTATTTATACAAATATTTATTATATATTCTTATTATAATAAACAAATTAATAATATTACCGGCCTGAATGTAAATTCATAAAGAAATTTCCAATTAAAAATTTCAATGAAAAGTTTAAAATTCGTTAATACTTTAAATTATAAACAGAAACATTTAATTATTTATCTAAAATAAAGATTTTTAAAATTAAAATAAAAATCTATTTAAATTATTTTAGAATTTGTACATTTATAATTTATGATTGATATATATATATATATATATATATATATATATATATATAAAAAGTTGCCAATTAAAAAAAATAGAAAATATAATGTTTTTTTGAAAGTATTTTATTTATATATATATATATATATTTGATATTTCAGATTGACCTTATATTTTCAAGATACAAATATATTTATATATATATATATATATATATATATATATATATATATATATAACAATAATAAAAAATAAAAATTAAAATCTTTAGACACACTGGGTTGTGATTAATATTCTTTCGTTTTTTATTATTATTCCTTTTAGATTCCTTGACTAGTTTTCTTAAAAATGGCCATCATCATATAAGAAATATTTCTATTTGCTGGTAGCAGTGAACTATAAAAGAATGTCTTGATGGAGAAAAAAACTTTTGTATTTCAAAACCGATTTAAAATTACGATAATTATTAATTCTTTAAAAAAAGGGCCATTCAGATTTTCCTACATATTGTTTCTGGCATACTGTGCATTCTAGAAGGTATATTGTTATAACTTCTACAGTTAGAATCGTGGTAGATTTTGAAAAGTAGATTTAGTGATTGAGAAAAGTGAATGAATTCGTTTTTTAATATGGTTTCAACATAAACTTCTTTTGTTGTTACAAAAAAAAAAATCCTGTTTTTTTTTGTTTTTATTTTCATTATGGATTACCTTTTGCAATATAAATATATATATATATATATATATATATATATATATATAGTCATGATAAATTTTTTTTTCATAATTGCAAAATTCTTCAGAAAATTCAAATAGGAAAAAAGGAGTTTTTTTACAGGTCTTTCTCGAAAAATAATAATTTATTTAAGATAATAATAGATATTTTTTTGCCTCTTCGTCATAAAACTAAATTTATGGTCCAATATTATGATGCTAGCGTTGTAACGTAATAACCGGGTTCGATTCTCGGTACTGTTCATTTAATTCCCAAAATAATTTGGAAACGCCCGTCTGAACTAAATGTTTATTCAGTTGATGTGCCATAAATGATATACGCCTAAGGCGATCATGTAAGACAGAATACATTAGGGTGTCAATTTTTCCCGCAATGGTTTACCATTTTATTTAGTTTTAAATAAATAAGTTTATAAAAAATGGTCTGTTTATTTTTATTTCCCATAAAAGAAACTTTTTGATTAGATTCATACCTTTCCCAAGGGTATAAAGCATATAAGTGAATATAATGGATTTGACTGGAATTCGAACTCGGTTCTCCGATTCCTCAATCAAAGATTCTCCGTTATATTATGTCTAGTTTCTGATCGTCACCGAGGCCCGCTGGCCCAATGGTATAATGCCGTATCGTAACGGTCCGTGTTCGATTCTCTGTAATGGATATTTTATGATGATAGTCCCCAAATTATGGACGAAACGTCGAGAAATCCTTTCTGAATTTTGTTGTGGTTTCTTTTTCTCAACAAGGATGTATTTTATGAAAAAAATACATTTAAATTTTCAAATTTCTATTCAGTTATATAAACCGATGCTAGATCCATCTTCTAACGCTCTGGATTGAACGGCTCGGTGAAGGAAGTCGTTGTCAGTTGGGCCTGGCCTGAGGATTATGTAGAAATGATGAACTATTATGAAAACAATAATAAGAATTCAATTTCTTATTTTTGCAATGGAAAAAAGTTACAAAATATAGTGTCCAGAATAATTTATTTTATTTCAATAACTTTAGAGATTTTTGATAATACTACGGTGAAATATTTTTCGAACTTAAATTGGAAGGCATGAAGTTTTTTCTTTTCAGTGATTTGAGGTATTTCTTTATAAATTTCTACATTTGCCCTTAGAAAGTTCCTCAGGATAAGAAGCGCGTTGTAAAATTAATTATTCGTCTGATGATTCCTTTTATTTTTTTTTAATGTCTTTCAAGTTTAGATATCTACCGATTCATGATATTGTTAGATTTGTCGCAAGATCCCTTGTTAAAACATGTGGTCATCTGAAATTTTCTGTTTTTTAAGCACGTCCCCATATTTCATATAAAACACCTCACATAGGACAAAAAAAAAAAAACCGAAAACAAATTTTTTTTATTGCAATAAAAATGTTAGAACAGTAAATGTGAATGTTTGATTTTGCCTTGAAAGATTTTGATCAATCTCAGTTAATTTTTTTTTTTGTTTTTTTTTTGGCAAAAAATATTCCCATTTATTAAAGGCTCAAACCAGACTCAAGGTAAACAGTTTTCATGGAAATTTATTATGAATATTATCGGAATAATTATTATAAATAAATTCAATTGAATTGTAGTTAAAACATCTGTCCTCCTTTACGGCAGAGAATGTTGGAAAAGTCTCCTCATCTGATTAATAGACTTGAAAACACAACGGAGGATACAATTCTATTCTTTATGATCCTAAGGATATTATGGATAGGCCTCTAAGCATTTAATGCGGTCTTGGAGAGGATGCAAACAAGGAGGAGGTTTAACGAAACATTTTATCCTGATGTTTTGGATTACATAATGAGAAAACAGGGCCTGGAGATTTGATACATTAAGTCGAAATTTAAAAAATTATAAAAAAAGAGAAAGCAAGAATGATATAACTGGATGACAGAACGTGGTCTGTCAGGTTGGCAGAGGATGGGAAATGCGTTGATAATGTATCTGGTGGGCGTCTAAAATGAAGGTTTGTTATAAATTAACATTTTTTGCATACTAAAAATTATTGCCGGATTTTTAAAAATGTTCGGATTTTTTAAAATCTTAATAATAAAGGATCATTTTCTTTGGTAACAAAAAAAGAATAGTAACAAAAAACATGATATCTGTCCTTCTTCACGGCATCAAAAATATTGGACGATTTCCTCAAAAAGAAAAAAACTCGAGGGCGACGGAGATGTGGTTCTACAGAAGGATGCTGAGGATATCATGGACCGATTATAAAAAGGACAAAGGTCTTATAGAGGGATACAAACAAGGAGGTTTTTTATATTTAACATCAGGAAGGGTTTCTGGGACACATGATGAGGAAGGAAGGCCTGGAGAATATGATACTCACAGGTTGAATAGAAAAAAAAAGGCCTGGAAAGCAATGAAAAATACCAGGCGGATTTAAGAAAGTGGATGACAGAATGTGGTCTGGAGGAATGGAAGATCTGGAACTTATTGAGAGTTACAAGGGATGGGAGGCAGAGGAGAGCCATGAAACGTCCTGAAAAAACAATATCCATAAAATGGAAAATATTACGTTATGACAAGCGTGGATGAGAGGCAAAAAAATCTAAAACCTTTGAAGTTTTGGGGAAAACATGAATCTCCAACTTCCTCCTTACAATTGGAATACATATAAATGAGTTAATGGACATGGCGGACGGGGAACATATCGTTTAAATAAAGGTCTGAATTGCTGAAAGTAAAAAAGAAAATAGAGCTGGTCTGAGTATTTGCTACGGAAACAGCAATTGATTATCGTCAGGCTTGTGATGTTGCAACTACGGGGAAGAGTGTGGATTATGATTAGCTTGGCACAAGAGTACAAATATGTGGCACTCAGTGAGGATCGAACTCACCACTCAGTAATAATTATCAAACATTCGCTAACCATTAACCGACGTCGAAACGCTTCAATCTAATCGTTTTCAAGAAGACAAAAAAAAAGTTGCTCTACAACAAGCGTCTTTTTAACTTTCTGTTGAATAAACCAAAGAGCCATATGCGTCAGTGCTTGTTGCTTCCCTTTATTTGAGTTGAATGTTTACTCGTCAGAGTCTGCCGGTGATAAAATAAACAGCGCCATCGTGTGGCTATCAAGAATAATACTTCTCCGCAAATATAACAGGTCAAATCTTCATATTGGTCGACGGAATCGCAGAACGAACAAAGAAGCCTCATTCCGGTAACCATATTTATCTCATATATTTTTTTTTAATGCAGAAATCTCCTGCTATGATGAGTTATTTGCGATATGTTTCTGTTGTTGGTCAATGAAGCGAAAAGCTGCAAAAATCATTCGACACAAACAAATGAAGACAGAGGCATTGAGGCGGGAAAAATGAAAATGTTCAATAATTTTCGGTGCATGCCACCATTCTGATTCCATTCATTGTCCCTACGGCTGAAATTCTTTCACTATCACATAGCAACTAATGGAATAATAGAAAGAAAAAAGATGATAATTTCAAAATACGCAGAAAAAAGAAAGAAAAAAGAATGAAATTATCAAGTTCAAAAAAAAAAAGAATGAAAAAAAAAAAAATTTTTAGTTTTCTTTTGAACGGCTTAAGTCAAAAAAGTGAATAGTTGAAATAACGTAAAAAGAAAGAAAAGAAAGAATGGAGATAAAAAATAATAGATAAAAAGAAACAAATAAAGATTCTAGATAAAAGAAAGAAAAGAAACCAAAAAAAAAAAAACATTCAAAAGAAACAAAAGAAAAGGGCAAACTAAAATGAATAAAGAAAAGAACGAACGAAAAAAAAGAATGAAAAAAGAATTCGATTTTATAAAGATAAAGATGAAAATTTAAAAAAGTGGGACTAACAAAAAATAAAAAGAAACAAACGATTTTTTCAAAAGAAAAAAAAAAAAAAAAAAAGAATGAAAAAAAAAAAAAAAAATTATTGCACCAAAGAATATAATAGACTCAATGAACAAATAAATGATTTAAAGAAATAAAGTTTTGTTTGAAAAAAGAAAAAAAAAAGAAAGAAAGAAATGTGCCTTGTATAAAAAAAAGAAAGAAAGAATAAAACAGAAACCAAGGATATAAAATAACGATAAAAGCAACAGTGGATATTAAAGAAAAAATAAAATAAACAAATAAAAAGTTTTCCATAAAATAAAGATGTTTGCGACTTTAAATAGATAGAATAGATGAATTATAGATGAATCAATAAAATCAAATAGATAATGTTGAATGGGGAGTTTCCAAATTGATACAAAAGAGTTGAATTAAAAAAAATAATGTAAAAAAAAAAAAAATCGAGACATAATTTATCAAAAAGAAAATTTGAAAATAAAAACATTCCTATTTCAGAAGAAAAAAGAAATAAAATCTGATAGAAAAATTTTTTTAAAAAAAAATTGAATAAAAAGTTAAAAATGATTAAAATTCAAAAAAAAAAATAAATTTGAAATAAGCATTTAATTTTTGAACGTTTAGGCCAAATAACATTATGCATGGCATGGAAATAAAAAAACAGTTGAAAAAAAAATTTAAAGAAATAAGAAAATATAAAGAATAAAGAAAAATATATAAAAAAAAATTTTGAAAAATCAATGAAAAAGAAAGAAAAGAAATTTACCAAAAATTTCATCGAAGAAATATATTTTTAATATATGAAAAAACAATATAAATAAAAGAAAAAATATGGAAAAAAAAATTTAGAAATTTAATTTCAACTAAATAGATTTGGATTTTCTGAAAAGATTTTTATAAAGAAAAAAAAATTTGAAAAGACAGAAAGAAAAAATGAGTTCCAATGTTAAAAGAAATTAATAAAAAATAATATATTGAAAGTTGGATTCATGCAAACGTTAAATAAAAATATAAAAAAATGAAAAAATTGAATGTATCTAAAAAAAAAACGATACTGTTTCCTTCATTTTTTAAAAATAAAATTTAATGCCTTTTTAAAAAAATATAAACAGAAAGAATTGTGAAATTAAAAAAAAAATTTAAATATAAAACAAAGAAAAAAAATAATAAAGAAATTAAAAAAATAATGAAACAAAAGAAATCAACTAAAGTTTGAAAAAGAAAATATAAAAGAATGTCAAGTTTACTTCCAAAATATTTGAATAAAAAAATCATAAAAAAAACTTGAAAAAATAAGAAAATGTTTTCAATTCTTTATCATGAAAATATATTGACATTTAGAAATTTTAGAACCCATATATATATTTATATTTATTTTTAGTCAATAAAACAAAAATATCAAAAGAAAAGATAATATTATATATCCCATTTTAAAAATTTCAGAAAAAGAAATATCAGAATCCTTTATATAATCAATTTAAATATTTAAAAAAATTTAAAATTCTGATTAAATCGAATAAAGAAAAAAATTAAATAAAGAAAGAAAACATCAAAAACTTGGGAAAGAAATTAATGTAATTCAAGAAAAAAGTCAATGACCAAAAAATGGTTAAGAAAAAATTTATCAAAAAATTTTAATTTGAAATATTAAAAAATATAAAATAACTAAAATTATAATAAAAAATTTCGTCATTTTAAAAAGTTAACAGATTTTTTTTAAAAAATTGATAAAATAAAGTTTAAAAATAAAAATAAAAATAAAATTTAAAAATTTGATTTGAAAAAAAAAATGGTTATTTTGTTCTCAAAGAAATGGATTAGTTTTTATGCTTTGAACAATTTAAAGAAATCCATTTTTAAGGGGAAAAATTTTAAACTGAAAAATTTTAAAAAAATGGTGATTTTTTTAAAAGAAATATAAAAAAAAAAAAAAATAAAACAAAGATAAAAGAGGTGATCTGTTCAAAAAATGAAAAAATCCACTTGAAAAAAAAAAGTTAGACAAAGTTTTCTTGAATTCTTAACCAAACATAGGTATGTAAAAATAAAATTAAAAAAATTTAAGCAAGTCTTTGAAAATATTCTGTTATAAATATAACAGGATCCATGCAAGTATACTGTTCAGTTACAATTTATAAAATTGGTCAAATGAAAGTTCAAGAATTTCAACTGGAAAATTGGTTTTTAATTAAAAGAAAAAGTCATAAATAATAAATCAGCATGAGTAATTTTTACGACAAAAAAAATGATAAATAAACGCCATAAGAAAAAGGTAAAACAGTTTATTTTGATTATCTTTATTTCGATAAGCAAACAAAATGTCTTGAAATGCTAAAAATTTTTTTTATTACAGTGTTTCAGTATAGTTCGCTCACTGGTCATTTTTCATTTTTCTATCCATCCGTGTAATCTTTAGCTTTTATTCTTGGGCAAAATTCTTACATATGTCTTGAAGAATAAAAAAAAAAATTGATCTTTCGATTTTTTCTAAATTCAAGATCAAAATTTTTTAAAAAAAATTTGGAACAACAACCCAACCTCGAATGAAAAATTTTAAACGTTGTCAGCAAGAAAATTTTATACCTTTAACTGACATTATTTTTATAATTTTTATCATGAAAATAGTCAGTACCTGATTTTTTCATATATTTTTAAAAAGTTAGTTTTTTCAGTAATCATTAATGTTGAATTGTATACAAATCAATTAACATTTCAAATAAAATTTTTTTTTTTTTTTTTTTTTTTTTTTTAAAGATATTTTCAAAATCGGATTGATATATTTTTGTTTGAAGTAGGTGGTATAACTTTAATTAATATTTATTTTTATTAAGGGTTCCATATAATTCGAATGGCTTTGGCTATGATTTTAAAACAAAGAATTCGCCTATGAAATTATAATCAGTAAATCAAATACGTCTCTAAAAAATCAAAATGTATTCCTTCATCTTTAAAAATTGTCCAACGGTCAAAATTTAGAAATCAAAGAAAAAACAAAATATCTTTTTCTTTTTGCTAATGGAATTTTTCAATTTTGTTGAATAAATGTTTCTGAAATAATATTAAATGTTTTTCTTACAAGAAAAGAAGTTGGTAAGCAAAAAATGTTCAAATTGAAATTGCAATTAAAAGATTACTTTTCCGAATTTTAGAAATTTATAAAAATTTTTTAATATTTTTTTATGGAATGTAATATGAAAGCTATTTCTAAATTGCCTTGAATTTGTGTATCATAAATTTAAATTTTAAAATTAACAAAAAAAAAGGTAGTCAGGTGTTTTTTTTATTTGCGATGTTACATCCATATTTTTGGACTTCAAATAGATAACAGACAAATTTTCTTTTAAACAAGAAAATGGCTAATATTAAAAATGTTCTTGCTTTTTCTATATAATCTTTTATAAAAAAAAAAAAATTCAAAAACCTGAATCTGTAATCGAAAAATAATTATTAATAATATTTTTATATTTCCAAAAATCATGTCTGTCTGAATAATAAATCCATATTAGGACTATATGAATATTTTAAAAAAATCCGTAGAAATAAAAATATGTGTGTAAAAAAAAAAATATTTGTGTTTGTTTATTTAACGACATCTTTTTAAATTTTTTTTTTTTTTTAAGCGTTTCACCCCAAGCAAGGCGGGAAGCCACTAGGACGCAAAGGGTTTACAGAAAATTTGGAGCAAGATCAGATAGGGAGTGATAGAAGAAAGGATGAGGAGAAGGATAGTGGATAGATCAAGGCAACTGGAGATGTCGATTGACATTACATTTGAATAGCTGGAGATAATAGCTCTCAGAGAAACTGGAATAGGGAATGGAGTTCCACAGACGAGAGGAGCGAGACATGAAGCTATTGAAGTAGAAGCGACGGCTACATTTAGGAGTTTCGACAGTGAAAAGGGTGAGAGCGGGATGCCAGCCTCGTAGGGCGCTTGAACTCATGAAGTCTGGGAACCAGCGAATGCAGCTCCTCGGAGCAATTACCATGAAAGTATTTGTAAAACAGACAGAGAGAGGCGACGGCGCGTCTGTGAGAAAGTGACTGTAGACGAGATGCCAGATCAGGGCCAATTATATTGCATATCCGCCTCTGGAGCCTATCAAGAACCCTGAGGCAAACAGAAGGGGCTCCAGACCATATATGGCAGCAATACTCCATGCAAGGGCGAATTGTTGATTTGTAGATCTGGAGGATCGATTCCGGGAGAAAAATTTCCTGGCCTGGGCACAGAAGAGCCAACTTTTCCTTGCGGTGGACGAAGCAATTGACTCAATGTATTTGTTCCATCTCAGGTCAGCAGTCAACGTGAGACAAAACAGCCGCAGAGAGTTGCTCTCAGAGAAAGAAGTTGAGCGTCAGACATTTAATGGAGGCTTTGGAAAATTTGTTGGAAATTAAAAGTATTCAAATAGAAAATTTTAATATTTAATTCAAAACATTCTGAAAAAATAAAATAAAACCAATGATGACATAATGTTAACAAGCTTGAAATAGAAACTATAAAATAGTAGATTAACATTATTTTAATTAATATTTATATAATTTTAGTTTTATATTCAATTTTTTAAGAAAATTTTACCATTAAAGGAAGTTACAATTTAATTGTTTTCTTTTATGTTTTTAATATTTCTATGGTCATATATGCTTTGGTTTGGGAATGTGTAATTCTTTATTTTTCATTTATTTTTTAGAAATTCGGGAAATTTTATAATTTTAATTCTAGATAATAATGCATTTTTTTTTAAAAAAAAAAATAAACAAACATATGGGTTTACATTTATTAAATGTAGCTACAAAAAATATTTTTAAAATTATTTGTAAAATTTTTGACAATCTTTTTTAAAAAATGAATTTCCCTCTCAATAAACAAATAATTAAGTAATATTTAAAACATTAATATGAACCATATTACGATGTTAAGGATGTCAAATAATAATTAAAAAATTCATGAGTAAAATAAAAATAAAATAAAATAAAAATGTGATAAAAAAACTA